ACTGATTCCCCAACTCGTGAAACTTCTTTTATAATTGTCAAACCATGTTGTCACCTTCTAACATTTTCAAAGCTGACCATCTTTGCATCAATACCATCTTTCCATTTATACCTATGCCCTGATGGACTTCTTTCAGCAATGTCCATGCCTTCCACGCTGTTGTAGCATTCAGGATATGTGGAATCTGCAAGTCCTGATATTGAAAGTGATAATCGTGGATGCCTGATTGTTGTGCATTGTAATAAAATAGGTTATGTTCGAGGGAGAGTCAATGTTTTTTTCTTGTATTTTCTACGTTGTCGGAGGTGTCCTATATATACAAATATCTTCTCGTACAGCGAACCATTCTTGTGTTTGCAAGCTCACACCATCTGTCTCTGTTGTCATGAATCCACAGTGTATCCAACTGCTACCTCAAAGTTTTTTGGAAACCTTCTCCTGGTAGCATCAGACAATTCCAAAACACTCTTGTTACTTCCAAACGTTTCGCAGTAACCTAGTGCTAAACAAACCGTAGCACCATTCAAGTTGACTGAACACGAACGCCCTAGTGCTCTCCAGCTCCTTGCTCATCCAGCATCACTCCGACAATCCTGCAACAACTAACCCCTGCACCAAACATCTAGCGTTCCTTCAACTAGCTTCCTAAAGTACATTAACCCTGGTTCAAACATCTTTACAACCAAACTAATGCATTACCATTTCACACCGGGGTACAGACCAGGTAACCCAGACCAGAAAAGGCTTCGTGAATTTTAACCCATTGTACTGACTCTCTTGCTTTACACTGGTGCTAGGAGGCCTTTTTCCTTCAACATGCGAACTATTCTAAATTTCCATGCATTGAAGTTACTCTTATGCATTGACATGGATCCGTCCAACCTCTCAATAGACTTGGTAAGATAGATGCTATTGCAACTGCACCTCTCGTTCCTGCAATCGTGTTGCACCACCTTGTCTTTCATTTCAGATATTGTTTCAGCGGTCAATTGCTTACCGGTTTGGCTTGCTGAATAGATCTCCGTTTTGTTCTGTGCACTAGTCCAGGCTCTTAACCTATTGTAAGACAGCAAGAAATATAAGCAATCGATTGATGAAGCTAGCTGAATACTGGTGAAATTAGTGACTTGATTGTTCCTTGTATTCCTCACTTACTTCAACAGCCAACATAACCAGCATAAGACATCCTTTAAATACAGAAATTCTGGTAACTCAGTAATCAGCCCATGATGACACCTATGCTATCTCCCAATGCCAACCGAGAGGTCTACACTGTCTTCATTTCCCAAAGATGAAAAGTGTACTGTCCATTCTTACACTAAAACTGTCACCACTCATCATATATAGAAACTCATTCCACCAATAAAAGAAACCCACAATCTGTCATCCCCGATCCCAACAATAGCACCATAAATACATATCCAAAACCGTAACCACTATCCACATCGGTGACAAAACAACAATTACGACCTCCCGAAGGTAAAAACGTCATATTTGTCTACACTTGCTACTACGCTAACTCTTCTCTCAAGGACCTGAACTCCCTCGCTCAGAAGATGGATGAAGGATTTAACCCTCATGATTGTTGGATCAAGCTTTTAGTCGGAATGTTTGTCACAACTGTATGTTTTGTTTATAACAAATCACCTAATTTTGTTTTACTAAAGCATCTGCTAGGTTGTGCTTAAGTTTGCTTACACAGATGGTTACCTCAAAAAGAGGGTAAAAGAAAACACCAAGTTGGAAGTTTCCGCCATGCCCGCCAGATTGGAATCAAGAATTCTGGTCGAGCTCGCTCACATGGAAGTGAGGTTGAGTAGGAACATCCCCTCCCAGGATGATGCGAGAGCGAAGAAACAGTAATTTTGTTTTTTTCTTTCTTATGTGCATATTATTAACCGAGGGGGGTTGGGGGGAGAAGATTCATAATTACTAAGTTGTTGCATTCCACTTTAACATAGCCGATAATTGGTAATAAAAGAAACTTTGATACAAAATCAAGTTCTGTAAAAATCTGGTTGTTCCACTATTGGCTATCGCACCTGTATTCTCTGCAATCCAGGGCAAAGAATCCCCACAAATACCGTAAAAACTCGCTAAATCCACCCTCTGGGATCGGGCTCGGATTCTTCCCATCAGTGACGAGACATCCCCAGAAGGAATAGCGCTACCAGGACACAGTATAGCGTGGAGAGGCTTAGCTGACTGGTTCTTATTTACTGGTATTCGTCACCTCGTTAACCTGCCCTGCTAGGTCTATTGTGGTTTAGACCACAATTTCTGTTGAGATCCCCGATAATGGATTTAGCGAGTTTTTGCGGTATGGAGTTTCAGGGACAGGGTATAGCTCGGCAAGGCTGACCCTGCTGGATATCATTAAATGGTATTTGTTATTTTGTTAACCTACTCTGCTAAGCCCGTTGTAGTTTGGTGAAATGGCGCAGTTGAGATTTTGGCTCATCGATCTACCGAGTTGCTATGGTATGGGGATTGTGGTGGTACGGTTATTTCTTACCATGAACTGATGTTATATTATATGGACGTGGAATACTTCTTGGTATCCGGATTTGTAGTGTAGTTGTATGATACACAACTTGAAAGGAAAAAAAGATAAGCTGGTCAAAAAACGTACACCGAGTGAGCAAAGATGAGCCAAGCCATCTCTGTAACACCTTTTCACCAGAATCCACCCAACCCAAGACATCTGTTGGTCAAAACAAACCCCCGGAATAGAAATCAATCACTCCTGCAGCCTTCGACACTACGGTACGGTGTTCAAGGAACCAGGTCCTCGACCGCACCAATAAAGAATGTAAAGAAAACTGCCTATCCCTCCCGCTACCGCCACCACTCCAAAGGTGCTAGATAGTGGTCATATCGCCCATTCATCCCTTCCCCCTTGCATCCATCCCTTCCTGCCTCCCAGACCGAGCCATCCATACTAACCTTTTAAACGTCTCACATTACCGGTGCCACCAGTTTACACCGCTACCGGCGCCGCTACCACTGCTCCCCACCCACCCTCCCACCACTAGCGACCCAAATAAAACCCTCATCACACATACGCAAGCTCATCCTTTGCGTCTCAATAATAATATTAACAACAAGAGGGGTAATAGTTGAATTCTATCATACATGCATTTACCTCCTCGACTACTACGTTCATCAGGATGAACTCGACTTCATCCTCATCCTCCCTCCCAAATTCCGTAGCATCCGCCGCGAACAAGTCCCACCAACCGTTACCTGCAAAGCAACCATCTCGAGCTTTGGATTCTCAGGGGAGCGACCGGAGTACGACCGCAATGATAGTTACCATAGCAGCAACAAATGGTGGAGGAAGCGGTGGTAGCGTGGGTAATGGATGGGGCGCTCAATGGAGTGCTCTACAGTATCTGGCAAGTTCAGCTCTGTGCAGCGATGTGGTAGCCGCTACGTCGGATCCTTCCCCAATACAACCGCACGAATCGGTGGCGGCTATTCGGCAGAGGAACCGACTAACGGATGGAACGACGGCACAGGTAGTGGAGGAAGGAGAAGCCAGAGTTCGGGAAGCTGGCCGGGGGAATTCCCATCTCAGTGGCTGACTCTTCAAGAGGTGCTGGTGGCAGTGGAAGTGGTTATGCACCTTCTTGTTCCGCTCGGGGGTCCGTCCTCGGCCAGGCTTCGTCACAGAATAGCACCAGGGGTCGAAAGATCTCTTACAAAAGATCTACTTTCCCTGACCCCACAGTCGGCTCCGCGCCCCAGGGCAAAAGGGACGCATTGGCCTACGACCACCATGCCAAACCCATACATACGCTTGATGGCGTAGTGAATATGTATAACATTCACGCCAGCGCCTTCCGCCGCGCGAACGGAATGTGGCGAAACGACAGCGTCAGGGGCATAAAATCCTCCTCCTACCGGTTGAAGACTGCCGTGTTGAAGGGAAACCCGTGGACCTGCTGAACCGAGACCTCACTCGGCACCAGCAAGAAAGCTTATGACGCCACCAACAAAGCCTACACCGTGAGAGGAGGCTATCGCATAAGAATGCAGTTACCGACACGAATTCTGCTAGTGATGGATGGCATTGGCCAAGTCGAGATCGCCCGCCTCGCCCCCAAAAAACTCTCGCATTTTCCACCGCGTCGGCGAACTGAGAGCGTTTTTACTAATGTGACCACCGGGTTCGGCACCGCACCACACCATCGGATGACGAAGCTAGTGTGTTTAGAGTACTGGCTCCCGGTGTAGGTGCCCTCGGAGGCTCTCGAGGTGAAGCGGGGGTGGTACTACACGCAGCAGACCGATCACAGAGACACTCATGGAGCTTGTCCAGGGGAATAGTGCTGGTTTGGAAAATGTCGGTGTGGTGATTGAGGGTTTTGTGAGGAAGTGGACTGCTAAGTCACAGGATTTCGCTACGCATGATTTGATTGAGCCGACAGAGAGGCCGGGATTTGAGATTGAGGATGATGAAAGTGGTAGTGGGGGTGGAAATGCTGGAGGTAGTGGTGAAAGTTGGGAAAGGGCGGCGGGGAATTAGAGGATGGGCGGTTCTAATGCCCGTGGTGACGAGAGGGTTGTCAGAGAGAGACTGCCCAGATCTCGGATGGGGTGGGGTGATGGAGTGAAGAACGGGGATAAGCTAACTTAAAGATTAAGTTTTAGTCTTGCTTTCCTATTACATTGGGTCTAATGAAATCAGGTTACAAATATGGGAACGGATTGGAGATCTCGCCTCCTACCCCTTTCGTAGTGATTTCTCTTGTAGCATTCAGATATCCATCAGGATTGATGGTGGTATTTTTCGGATTCTTTTCATCTCTTTCTCCGTGGTTTTTTCCGGTTAGCGTATCAGGAGTTTTTGCTTTTTTCCTTCACGCTACCTTACTCAGGCCTACGGTTCCACTCAGGCTTCCCATTGCCCTTTCCTTTGTCCAGTGCCGATGTTAATATGAAAAAGCATAGTATCAAGTATCATTAATTACGGCCCAGCCAGAGTTGCTTCATCTTCATACAGACATATTCATTTGGTTACTAGGACGTGGATCATACCCTAGGAGCTCAAAGCACTCGAATTTGGAGTCATCAATATCATCCACTTGCCTATTAATCATGAGAGTATGGAACTCCTTAGGGTCCCTCTCGAACTGCCCCTTCAACGTATCCGCATGATCGGAATAAACATGCGCATCCCCCATAATGGGTATAAGCTCTCCAGCCTCCTGGCCATACATATGCGCAATCATTATCGTGAGGAGCGCCAACGAACCCATACTGAACTGGAAACGAAGCGCCATATCACAGCTCTTCTGGTACAACACACAAATCTGCGCCCACTTGCCTTCCCCCTCCTACGAGACGTAGAATTGGGCAAACAAGTAACACGGCGGCAACGCCATCTTCGCTAGAGCTGTCAGATTCCATGGGCACATGATGATGCGGTCGTAGGTGTTGTTCTTGAGCTTGTTTATGACGCCGGCGAGCAAATTCACGCCCGGCCCGAGAGGTCCGTGTGGCAGTCGACGCACCTTGCGCCAAAGTACCGCCACTAGGGTCCATAAACGGGGCCCAGGTCACCCTCCGCGTGACCCGTTTCCCTCCCAGATCTTTATGCCCACGGCCGAGAGCGGGGCGTTGCTGGTGGAGCCCGAAATGAAACAGAAGAGCTCGTGAAGGATGACCTTCGGGAATACGTGCTTTGTACTCAGGACGGGGGGTGAGTGGTTTCACAGGTTGAGGCGGGGGCTGTGGGGGTTGCGAAGAGGG